CCTGAACCCTAAACCCTGAACCGTCTTGGTATCGCGATCCCCAAGCTGCAGTTTTCATGCGGGCCAGCTGCGGGTCCGCGGCGGAAGGTTCAGCTGGTCCTGTGGACCCATTTCCCAAATCTGGCACATCTCCGTTCTTTTGAGTAGGATCTATCGTAGGAGGGTCTGAAGAATTAGAATACTGTTTGGCGTACATGATACTGTATAGCTATCTTGAGGACGTCTAAGGGATATTAGTTTTTAAGCCTACGGTTGAGGGGAACCATCGAGGAAGTACTATAGCCCCTGTAGTCTCGGTTTCTTGTAAGATAGCCTCAACACCTGAGGGTTCATGGGTAGTTGTAACTGGGTTGCAGTTTTGGGCCCGTGACAGTATTCATTAATGGGTAGCTCTGTAGGAACCATAAAGGGAAACTAACCAAGTTTCCCAAAGTGTCACCTAGGTAAGTACATATAGTTATGAGCTTATAACCCCTTGAACCTTCAGGTCTGCGTAGACTCTTACTTTACCTAAAGCCCAAGCCCTACACCCAAAACCCATGCAGGGTTGGGTTCTGCTTCAATGCGCAAGGCGAGGCCCGCGTCCTGGTTCACGTAGATGTGCCTCAGCTAAATGCAAGCTGGCTTGGGAACAGAGCTCATGACTATGACTAGTGACTAGAGGTTGTGAGAAAAGAACCGAAAAGTAGGGCAAGGGAGGATGATGGACGACTCGCGCGTAACTTCGCACTAAACCCTCAACCCTAAAAATGAACCTGGGGCTTTTCGAGTATAGGACATAAAGGAACGTCAAGGAACGGTATGATTGATGGTTCGGACCCCAATACTGCCCAGAAACCCCCAAACCCCCATCAAAGCATGAAGCCACACTAAGGATCCCCCAAAGTGTTTAAGTGATATTCCTAAGTCGGGTCACCAAAAGAACCATTGGTAAGTCCTTCATCAGCCCCCTAAACCCTGAACCCTAGACCGTACACCCCAAGACCCTAAGCACTATCAAGCCCGTGAAAACCTACGAAGGAAATCCAGGGTTTACGACTTTACCCTGCACCCGCAACCTTAAATCCCCAGAGCCCCAGCCCCCAAAGCCCTAAACGCCGAAACCCCTAACCCTAGTACTAAAGCCGCTGGGAGCCAGACATGCAACAAAACCCCCATTCTGTTCAAAAGGAAGAAACCTGTAAACCCTGCACAGAGCCTAAACTCTAAACTCCTGATAACACCCTTACAAAAACCCTACAAGCCCCAAAGAGTTGGAAGAGACCCTGCATGGCTTCACCCTAGAAAATGCTAGTAAGGACGATAGTTAACCATGAAACACCCTAATGTAGAGGCCGTGATAATAGAATAGGGCTGTGGGGTATAGTATGGCAGGGTTATAAAAACAAGAAAATCTCAAAAAACTTGTAATGACCCTTGTGTACTCAAACCATTCTAGTGCCCAGTATGGTATGGTACCAATTATGGGGGGGTTCCGAAAATAGGGGACCCTACTATAGTACCCTAAATAATAGGATCCTTATTATAGGGACCCCAAAATAAGGTACCCCTTATATTCGGAAACTCCTTTATAGTAGCCGTCATGGTAACTCTTCTTGAAGCCTTAGCCCTAAGCACTGAACCCCCAAGGGGGACCCTCATGTAGAACCCTGAACCCTATAAAACCCTTTAAGGGGGACCCTGCTATAGAACCCTAAACCCTATAGCACCCCCTAAAGTGTATGAAGGGGCTCGGGAACCCTAAACCCTTAAACCCTAAACCCTAAACCCTAAACCCCTAAACCCTTTAACCCTAAACCCTAAACCCCTAAACCCCTAAACCGCTATTAAAGCCCTAAACCCTAAACCCTAAACCCCAAACCCTAAACCCCTAAACCCCTACTAAAGCCCTAAACCCTAAACCCCTAAACCCCTAAACCCTAAACCCCTAAACCCTAAAGCGTCCGCGACGAAGCGGCTCTGGGTCAAAGTCGCGGCCCGTCCGTTCCAGGCCCTTCACCGGCACGGGCTTCTCTCCCAGAGCTGGGGCCTTGCAGTTTAGGGTTTCAGGGTTTAGGGGTGTCAGGGTTTAGGGTTTAGGGTGTTAGGGATTTCAGGGTTTAGGGTTTAGGGTGTTAGGGTTTAGGGCTCATAGGGTTTAGGGTTTAGGGTGTTAGGGATTTCAGGGTTTAGGGCTTTAGGGTTTTAGGGTTTAGGGTTTAGGGTGTTAGTAGTTAGGGATTTCAGGGTTTAGGGCTTTAGGGTTTAGGGTTTAGGGCTTTAGGGTTTAGGGTTTAGGGTGTTAGGGTTTAGGGTTCATAGAGTTTAAGGTTGTGGGTTTAGGGCTTAGGGGTTTCAGGGTCTAGGGTTTAGGGCTTTAGGATTTTAGTGTTTGAGGTTTGAGGTTTAGGGTTTAGGGTCTAGGGCTGGGTCCTCGCAGGACTTCAAGACTTCGGGAGCCTCATATACGGCCCTTAATGTTTTTAATAGGGTTGTGGGGTAGATCATACGAAAGTTACACAAAGAGGAGCCCCCAAAGTAGTATAGGTAATTCCTAAGGGTTGCTTGCTGTGGGCTTTGTGAGGAAGGGAGAGTTTTGGGTTTAGGGTTGGGAGTGCAGGGTTTGGGCTCGGAGGTTTGGGATTTGGGTAGCTCTCTAAATTAGGGTCCCTTTTTAGGTCCCAAATATAGTACGGCACCCTTATAAAAGGACCCCAAAAGGGACCCTGATTTAGAGAACTACCCATTTATGATTGTGCTTTATGTCCTCTTGGGGCGCGGGTCACGGGACGTCATGCCTTGGCTGCTGGCTGTAGGGTCAAGTTTGACGGACTTGCGGGCATTAGGGGTTTGGGCCATAAACCCTAAGCCCTAAGCCCTAAACCCTAAGCCCTAAAGACTGAACCCAAGAATGCTCATCAACAGCTGCGGCCTCGCCCACGCACCTCATTGTATGGGAGTATAGGCTTGAACCTCGGCTGGCAGCTCGAAACAGTTTAGTGTTTAGGGTTTAGGGCAGAAAGCTCCCGGATTGCAACACGTCGTTGGGCCTGACATGATTAGACTATGGCTTGCTCTTACCGCGAGCAGTCTAGCAATACAGGAAGTAAGAAGGGCGGCCCTTTGAAACGGGGGTCCCTTGAAGGATCTTGCAATTAAGGGTCTGGGTTTAGGGTCAATTCCAAGGGCGTTCTTACATGAAGGAGCGTACTATTCGGGGCTTAGGGTTCTCCATCAGAGTTTAGGGTTTAGGGTTTAGGGTTTAGGGTCTAGGGTTTAGGGTTTAGGGTTTAGGGTCTAGGGTCTAGGGCCCCTTTTTGGGAAGCGTCCTTGCAATAAGGACCCTGCAAGTCCGGATCTTGGGTTCTATCTTAATCCCCCGCGATGTGAAGATCCTTATCACAAGGATCCTACCTTAATGCAGGGTTTAGGATTTAGGGTTTCCAAGGGTTCCTTTAGGGTTTGGGGTCTTCTGGGGTTCCTGCAAAGGTTTAGGGTTTGGGGCTTTATAGGGTTCCTTTAACCCAGACCACCGGGAGGATCTAAAAAAAGATCCCCTAATTTGGGACCTTAACTACTAAAGGGGTACTTTTTGGAACCCCTTAGGGGATCTATTTTTTGGATCCTCCCGGTGGTCTGGGTAGGGCTCCGTATTTGGATTCCCTTTTTGACGACTCCATATCATAAGGATCCTACGACTCAGGGTCCCTCATCTTCCCGAAACCCTAAACCCTAAACCCTAAATCCTAAATCCTACGCTATAAACCCTAAACATTAAACTCTAAACCCCAAACCCTAAGCTACAAACCCTAAACCCTAAACTCTAAACGTAAACCCTAATCCCTAAACTCTAAACCCTAAGTCCTAAACCCATCTCGGGGGAGCACAGTACTTGATGATGAGATCCTGTGCGAACTTGCCGAGCGCCTGGCAAGGCTGCAAAGACATTGCAACCCACTGCTTCGGTTTAGGGTGTGGGGTTTCAGGGTTTAGGGGTTCAGGGGTTCCGGGTTTAGGGTCTCAGGGTTTAGGGTTTTGGCCTTTTTAGCCTTTAGGGTTTTGGGGCTTAGGGTTTCGGGCTTCCTGTGATGGGCATTGGTCAAGAAGGCGCCTTCGGCGTGAAAGAGACCACCACATTCGTGTTCTGGAGGGGAGCCAGCTTGCCCCTCATGGGTTGAATGCTCATGTGTGGTACCTGAACCGCGGCGGAGTGTAGGGTTTAGGGTTTAGGGTTTAGAGAGACGAAAGTAATAGAAAATGAAGAGGCAGTAGTCGAAACAAGACCTAAAGGAATTATAACAATAATGATACTCCATATACACGACGGGTGGAGTAAGAATAACCATACCAGCAGTAATACTACTGACAAACGGCAGTAACACTACCAGCACCAGTAAAGTGAACAAATGGTAATTCTGCCGTGCCCTAGACCGGAAACCCTAAACCCTAACACGCTTAACCCTAAAAAACTGAACCCTCAACACCTAAAACCATAAAGCCCTAAAACCCCAAACCCTAAAACCTTAAACCCCTAAAACCCTAGAGCCCTAAACCCTAAAACCCCTAAAACACCCTAAAACCCTAAAACCCCTAAAACCCCTGAAACCCTTAAACCTAAACCCTAAACCCTAAACCCTCAGACCCTAAACCCTCAAACCCCAAAACCCGAAAACCCTAAAGCCCTAAAACCCCCTTTAAAATCCCCAGGTCACTCGAGGGATCTCGAAGTCCAAGGGCATGTTCTGCGCTGCGTTGCTGATCCGCAGGACGATGTCGCGCCTCGCAGAGACGGCTCTTACGGGGTTTTTCGGGTTTAGGGTTTGGGGTTTAGGGTTCAGGGTTTTAGGGCTTAGCGTTTGGGGTTTAAGATTTCGGGTTTGGGAGGGTTTATTGTTTGGGTTTTTAGGGTTTAGGTTTAGGGGTTTAGGGTTTCGGATAGTTTAGGGTTTAGGGTTTGGGGGTTTAGGGTTTAGGATGGTTTAGGGTTTAGGGTGATGAGAGCTTCCTCCAGGGTCCCGTTTAAGGAGTTCTTTTAAGAGTTGGGGTTCCTGCAAGTGGGTTTTTTAGGGTTCTGTAAGGTTTCTGTAAGGGGCCTATGCGGGCTTGTGGAAGCACAGAACCTGAAACAGCATGAGATGCAAAAACAGTGCAATATGGTTGATCCTCGTTGTAACAGGATAAGAAGTACGAAGAACATTAACAATCAACCATATGACTAATAGCAATAGCCATAGTAATACTAGTACTGCCATGCTGCTCTGAAGTAACACGGCGCATTGTTGAGGGCGGGTGTATTCTACTATGGTTCTTTTGCGTTTATGAGGAACCGTATTGACTCATTCTTCCCGCCACCCATATATTCCGCAGGCACGCTCGCGAAGGGGCGCCTGTGGTTCACGGGGCACTGCCCGAACTGCAGCATGTCGGGGGAGACCTCATAGGTACACAAGACGATTGGGCTTCGTTTAGGTTTTAGGGTTCAGGGTTCATCAGAGTTTCTTTCAGAATACAGGGTTCAGGGTTTAGGGGCAAAAGCGGACCGCATGCACTACTCGTACTAGCTACTTTGAACTAGCCCATCCAGCAAGCCCGTGTGATTTCCGAACCTTGGACCGCAGCATTGGGGCTTCGACAAGGAATTCGATGGTGGTGTTTAGCGGGTTAAGAGCCCATCTTAGAAAAATCAGCCCTGGAAACCTGATAATGTAGGGGCCTCAGAATAGGGTTCTGGCTCCTTCATAGTACTGTTGTAAGAAGGAGCCCTGACAGTAATATAGGTAAGTATTTAGGCTTCCATATTACGGGTTTAGCGGTTTGGGGTCCCCTAAACCCTAAACTCCAAAACCCGTCACCCTGAACCCTCAACAACCCTCACCGTCATCAGACCCCCTGAACCCTAAACCCTAAACACCTAGACCCTAAACCCCTAAACGCCAAAACCCCTAAACCCGAAACCCCTAAACGAGCTAAACCCTAAACCACTAAAAGCTCTGAACCCTAAACGCCCTAAACCTCAAACCTCCAAAGATGCAACTTCCCCTGGGCTAGGCACCTTTAGGGCCGGCAGCACCGCCGTACCCAGGAGCTTCAGAGGCAAAGCCAGGTTGAGCTCCTTTCTAAGAGGGTTGTGTGTGGGGGTGGGGGGGATTCGATGATAAGGGCATGAGTGCTTGAAAGGATTCTGTAAGGATGCTGGGGTTCAAGTATGACATGTGTAAACCGTTTTTTGTCTGTATGGAAGTTGATTCGTCTTTTCGGTCTTGATGGAACTATAAGGGTCTTTATGAGCTTTGCATGCTGTTTGGGATGCAAGGTAACCCTAAACCCTAAACCTTAAACCCTAAACCCTAAACCCTTAAACCCAAACTATATAAAGGCCTGATGATAAGGATGAGAGTCTCGGCTTCGGGGGTGGAGGGCTGAGCATAATGTAGGGGCCTTAATGATTAGAGTACTATTTTGGGGGCTCCTTATTGTTATTAGTATTTACCATTATTATTATAGTATATAATGGGCCCCAAATAATTACAATAGGGCTTTGCCAAAACCCTGTTCTAATTACTAAGCTCTAAACCCTGAACCCATGGATCCCGAAACCACTAAACTCCTGAACTCCCCCAAAAATATCCATACTAAGCCTCTCTAAAACCCTCAAGCCACAACCCTAAACCCTAAACCCTCAAGCCAAAAAGCAGGAGGAGGAGCCCGGGTCCTCGCTTTCGATCTTTCCGGCAAACTCGTGTCGCGCGGAGTGGCGTTCAGGCGATCGGTTGCAGAGGAAGCCCTGGGCATGGCTGTTAGGGTTGCTTACAGGGTTTAGGGTTTAGGGTTTAGGGTGCTTTTAGGGTTCCTTAAACTTAAAGGGCTCCTTCAAGGCGTCTATAAGGGATCTATGGATCCTTTTAGGGTGTCTTTTAAAGGGGCCGAGGGCTTTTGGGCTTTAGGATGTTTGCGCTTTAGGGCTCTTGTAGGGCTTTAGGGGTTTAGGATTTAGGGTTTTGGGGTTGTAGGGTTTAGGGTTTCAGGGTTTAGGGATTAGGGTTTAGGGTGTAAGGTTTAGGGTTTAGGGCTTGAGGGTTTGTTGGGTTTAGGATGTTTCGGGCTGTCAGGGTTTCATACCCTGAATAAGTCACTTTTTAAGGATGTATAGGTTCTGCAGCACCTATACGAAGTACTCAGACCCCCGGAGTAAGCCCAGGGGCCTAAGGAGTGCGAGGCCTCCTCTGATCAACACAGGACGCCAACCCCTAAACCCATGTGGGTAGTTCTCTGAAGTAGGGTCCCTTTTGGGGTCCTCTTTATAAGGGTGCCGTACTATTTTAGGGGGACCCAAAAAGGGACCCTAATTTAGAGAACTTCCCCCTCTAACCCAAACACGAGGATCCTCTCTGAGGATCCCCACCCCTCAACCCGAAACCCGCCTTTCCCAAAAATGTCCGAGCACTCGCCACTTCTCCCCCAAGTACAAAGGGGTTTAGGGTTTTGGGTTTAGGGGAGGACCCTACAAATCTGGACCCCAAATGATCATTCTGATATACCCTGATGCGTAAACTCCGATCCCAATTTACGGTTTAGGGTTTAGGGCTTAGGGTTTAGGGTCTAGGATTTAGGGTTTAGAGGTTTAGGGGTTTATGGGTTTAGGGGTTTATGGGTTTAGGGGTTTAGGGTTCAGGGTTTCTGAACCTTCAACCCTGGAACCCTGGAACCCTGCTGGAACCCTGGAACCCTGCTGGAACCCTGGAACCCTGAAACCCGGAAACCCTAAACCCTGGGCCCTAAACCCCTAGCCTCGAGCCCCGAAGCCCTCAACCCTTTCAGGGGGGGGCGCTATGAAACTTCGCGAGGCCTGACCCTCCTTGAACACGGGGGGCGCGAAGGTGAATTCCAAAGGGACGCAGCCGAACGCAGGCACCTGGGCTTTGGAAGGAGGGCGTGGATGCGCAGACCCCGCCCCGCTTTTCTTCTTGAAAGGCCCTAATGATATGATCCCCTAAACCCTAAACCCTAAATCCCTCCTTAATCTTCTGGAAGGAAAAGGGGTTTGGGGGTTAAGGGTTTAGTTTCGGGCTTGGGATTTCAGGTCGGTTTCTTGTGATGGGTTGAAGCGGTTCTGCTTTGGATTATGGAGCTTTTGGGCTTAGGGCTTCGAGTTCGTGGGAAGCTCCGGTTACTTTTGTTTGACATCTTCGACGTTCTGCCTCTTCTGGTGCTGCGAACGAGCAGGACATGATCCAGTTGGACTCTCGTCCTTAGCGTTTAGGGTTTAGGGTCAAGCGCCCGAAGTGCTAAACGCTAGACTAACCTGAGCCTTTCTCTGCATCAGTGGCACCGTCCCCGCAAAAGGCGTGACGCTGAGAGGCTGCTGTGCCTCCGACAATCATGTGAAGGCTTAGCGTAAGGTTTAGGGCCAGGGACTTGGATGAAACAGAACTGTTGCAATCAAGGAATCGAGCCCTGAACATCTAAATCCCAAAGCCCTTAAGCCCCAATGTTGAGCTCCTTCTCCACCGTCTCTGAGGGGGAAGACGCCCCGGGCAGGGTGCCCGCGGTGGCTGCCATGCCTCGGAAGGCATCGAGAAATAAGAACAAATTGATGTGTGTTTACATTTTGCGCCCGAACCGCTCCGGAGACATCAACCGAGGTCCACACCGTCCCCCTCGTGCGCCTGGGGCTCAGTCTGGATGTAGGGTTTGAGGTTTAGGGTTTAGGATTCTTCGTTGAAGGTTTTCGGCTTGGGATCTTAGGGTTTTCGGGCTTTTGGGTCTTCGTGTTTTAGGGCTTGAAAGCGCAATTGCAAGGAACCTCCGTCGGAGCCCTTATGAGACCCTTCTGAAACCCTAAACCCTAAACATCCCTAAACCCTAAACACCCCTAACCCTTAAATTACAAAAAAGACTGGACCCCAAACCCTGCTCTCTCCCGCCTCAAGAACCGAAGCACTGAAACCACAGGAGGTCGGCCCATCGTTCACGAGCTCCACGCGCAGGGTCTCGCCAGAGCCGGGGTTTAGGGTTCAGGGCTCAGGGCTTAGGGTTTAGAGTTTAGGGGCCCAGGTACAACAGAACCCACAACTGCCCAGACTCCTAGACCCTCTGAAAAAGCAAGTCCTAAACCTCAAAACCCCCAAAGAAAAATCCTTCAAACTCACTAAAACTCTGACTAGAAAAGCATTGCCGCCAGTGCCTTCGTCAGGCCATGGTACAAATTCCCGAAATCCAGGCTGCCTCGGTTCAGTTCGGGTTCTTAGCGAAGGTTCCAAAACGGGTTCCTGTCAGGGTTTCTATAAGCCCTAAACCCTAAACCTCATAAGGGCTTCCTTTAAGGCCCTAAACCCTAAACCCTAAACCCGAACCCCTATAAGGGCTTCCTTTAATGGCTCGATAAAGGTGCTTGGGGTTCAGGCTCCTGAAGGCTTAGGCTTCAGCGGCTCGGGTATAATGTAGGGGCCTTCATGATTAAAATAGGGTTTTGGGGTGGTATACCTATTATTATAATACGGAACCCCCCCCCCCCCAAACTAGGTGGTAATATAGGGGGCTTGTAATTAGAATAGGGTTTTGGGGTCTTAAACTATAGTTATAATAAGGAGCCCCCAAAATAGTACCTAAACCATAAACCCTAAACCCTAAACATTAAACCCTAAACCTAGACCCTAAACCCTAAACCCTAAACCCTAAACATTAAACCCTAAACCCTAAACCCTAAACCCTAAACATTGAACCCTAAACCCTAAACCCTACACCCTAAACATTAAACCCTAAACCCTAAACCCAAAACCCTACACCCTAAACATTAAACCCTAAACCCTAAACCCTAAACCCTAAACCCTAAACCCTAAACCCTAAACCTACAGTATAGGCCTCTGGCCTGGGGATCTTCGGGACCTGAGCCTCGGGATGTCAAGGTGGGACATGAACAACTGGCGTGGGGTTTGGGGTTTAGGGTTTTGAGGGTTTAGGGGAGTTTGGGGTTTAGGATTTCTAGGGGGGTTTAGGGTTTAGGGTTTAGGGTTTTGGGGGATTAGGATTTAGGGGTTTTGGGTTTAGGGTTTAGGGTTTAGGGGAGTTTGGGGTTTAGGATTTCTAGGGGGGTTTAGGGTGTAGGGTTTTGGGTTTTGGGGGATTAGGGTTTAGGGGTTTGGGGTTTAGGGTTTAGGGTTTAGGGGAGTTTGGGGTTTAGGATTTCTAGGGGGGTTTAGGGTTTAGGGCTTTGGGGGATTAGGGTTTAGGGGTTTGGGGTTTAGGGTTTAGGGTTTAGGGGAGTTTGGGGTTTAGGATTTTTAGGGGGGGGTTAGGGTTTAGGGTGTTGGGTTTGGGGGGATTAGGGTTTAGGGGTTTGGGGTTGAGGGTTTAAGGTTTAGGGGGGTTTGGGGTTTAGGATTGTTAGGGGGGTTTAGGGTTTAGGGTTTAGGGTTTAGGGTTTTGGGGGATTAGGGTTTAGGGGTTTGGGGTTGAGGGTTTAGGGTTTGTGGGGGTTTGGGGTTTAGGATTTATAGGGGTGTTTAGGGTTTAGGGTTTAGTGTGTAGGGTTTTGGGGGATTCGGGTTTAGGGGTTTGGGGTTTGGGGTTTGGGGGCTTTGGGGTTTAGGGGTTTGGGGTTTTGGGGGTTTGGGGTTTAGGGTTTAGGGTTTTGGGGGTTTAGGATTTTTAGGGGATTGGGGATTAGGTTTTAGGGCTTTGGGGGGTTTAGGGTTTAGGGTTTAGGAGTTTTGGGGGTTTAGGGTTTAGGGTTTGGGGGGGTTTAGGGTTTAGGGTTTTTGGGTGGTTTAGGGTTTAGGAGTGTTGGGGGGTTTAGGGTTTAGGGTTTTGGGGGTTTAGGGTTTA